TCAGGATCTGACGACACCTGCGCTGGGCTCACCTGGGAACATGAAAACGAGAAGCTGCAGGTCAAAGTAATAGGAGGACCAAGTGGTGGGCTGGTGCTCGGAGACGGAGGCGATGATGGGGATGTTGTTCTTTGCGTAGGAAGGATCCAGCAGGGAGTAGAAACGCCCCGTCCACGGGGAGATTTTCCCTAGGAAAGAAGAGGGGGGAAAAAAAAAGAAAAAAAGAAAGAAATCAATCGTATTCCGTTCCGGCAGAGAGCAACCAGCAGCGCCGCTACGTTCTCTCGCACGGGAAGCGCGCGCAAGGCTGACTGAGCAATCCTAGACCTCGTTTAACATCTCTATTACTCAAACCTGCCATTTTAGAGAGGCAACACAGTGCAATTTTACCCTAAAAAGGCTTCTCCCCCGCCCGCCCTCTATTTTCAGCATCTCTTCGCTACTACAGATTGACACGCGGTTTCCGAAGCATCGGCTCAGCCCGCGCTGAGTCACGGCAGGTTTCTCCCCTCCCCTCGCATCACCCGGAGCCACCGCTTAAATATTTTCCTGCTAACGCGCAAATTAGGGCAAGTCCCAGCCTCTCCCTTAGCGGGGCGGTTCGTAAGCTCTGAAACCGCAGCGCGGGCCGACAACGCAGAATTGGGATTGACGGATGAGGCGGCTTTTCAAAGCGAAGCCGGCAGTGAACCGCGCTCGTCGTCGTCGCCACCTTGGGGGCTACCTGTCAGCATCAGCACGGCCCCGATGGTGAGGAGGACGAAGCCAACCAGGGAAATGACGCTCCTGAAGAGGATTTCGAACTGCTGCGGGTTCAGCTTGCTCCGAAGGTAGTCGACGAAGGCGTGGATCTGACACAAGCCGAAGACCCCCAGGGCAGCCATGTGCTCCGAGGAGAGGACCGGCTGCGAGCAGGGGAGAGCGTGATCACAGACAGAAAATGCTTCTTTTTTTTTTCCCCCCTTTTTACAAATCACTTCTCAGCAAAACCGCTGCCAAAGGCACAGGAAACCATCCCCTCCCCGCCGCTGCGAGTCACTTTCTTACATCAGCTTCGATTCCCAGCTAGGAATCCGCAAGGAAAATTAAGCCGATTCTCTCGAAAACGCACTAAGTGGGCATTTTTCCTGCTGGCGTGAGCGCTTCCTTCACCGAAAATGGAAATATTTTCATGAAAGGCAACCGGTGCCGTGAAGGTTATCAGCAGCTTTGAAAGTCATCCAGCACCTCCAAAAGTTAACCTTGCCAAAGGTCGCATCGAATCAGTCAGACCTAGAAGCCAGCGCCCGCTTATAACGTCAGCGGCGAAGGCAAGGGGAGAAACCAGGTGCCAACTCGCTGCCGTTCCGTCACCACCCACGAAACGAGCGCCCTCGAGTCCGCAAATCGTTCCGGTCCCCACCTGGAAGCCAACAAAGGAGATCTGCATGGAGAGGATGGTTCCCAAGCAGTAGACGGTGCAATAGGCTACGTAGATCCTGTGGGAGAAGCGGCCGGTCAGCATCAGCACAAGAACGTGCAAGGGGATGAGGTTAATCAGAAAGACGTAGCCACCCCAGGAGGAGACCTGCCAAGAGAGAAAAACAAACAAAACAAAACAAAACAAAAAAAAAAAAACACAAAGCCCACAAGTTCCAGGAGTGAACAGGTCACACAGCAGAGGCGAAAGGCGGCAGGTTTGATTTTCCTGCGATCGCCCGCAGGATTTTCCCCCAGCTGCGACGCCAGCTGAAGATCCGCCCTCTCCAAGGGCACCCTCAGCAGTCACAGCTGCCAGAAGCCCAGATTTTTTGCAGGCTATTAATAAAAACTTGCACAAAGAAAAAAAAACCCCCCCGCTAGTTGCGGTAAGTGGAAACGAACGAAGAAAGCGTCCGTTCGGTTTCCACGCCAAGCCCTTCCCAGAGGTTCGAGCTCCCCGAATACAAGGAGGGAGGAACGGGCACCCCACGGATTTTTGGTCACCGTATCAGAAATACTTCGGTGCCGGGAGAAGGAACGCTTACCATGTAGAAATAGGCGAGAGCACACATGGCTGCCCAATAGATGGAGCCCGTTTTGACGGCTTTGATCCACATGTAGTAAGTTAACAGCATGCAGAATATGGCGATACCTGGGTGGAAGGACACAGAAAGGTGAAAGCGAGCTCACATCAGCCCCGAGACGTCGCTATAATCTCCGAGGCGCAGCAAAGCACTCGATTGCGTTTAAAATAGACATAAAAATGCTTTTGCTGCTCCATCAGAAGGTGGAACGGCACCTCCTACAAAGAGCTGGGCTTGGGAAAAGGGTTTCCTATCTGATTTCTAGATTGAAACACTGCGGCGTTTGTGTCTCGCTGCAGATAACGGCTCACGCGGCCTCTTCTAGCCACACCAGCTGGCCTTTCTGCACACAACGAGTCCTTATGCGGTCCCCGATAGCCCAGATACAGCGGAAGAACCTGGATTCTCCTCCCAGAGGCATCCAAAATGAGATTGCTGCCTTTGCCAACCCCAAAGTCACTGCCGGAACAGAGATAAAACCACCGGGGAGCCGCGCAGCGGCTCTGATCCCAAGCAGAGTTCCGTGGAGGCGGCAAAACCCTTTTTTGTCTGCAAATAAGGATGAATGGGGTGCGCTCGCTGCCCGAATTGGGAAACACTCCCTCTTCTCAACGGCGTAGGCGAAAACCATCACCGATCCCCCAGCAGTTGGGTTAGTAAAGCGCAGGGACCCGGCGGGGCTCGCTGGGCAAGGACGGCTCCTCTATCGCGCCCTGCAGCATCTTTACCCTCGTGTTCCAGCCTCCCCCTGGCAGTCGTTATTAAAGGTTTCCCTGCTCCGAGGGTCGTAAACTCACCTTCGTTATCGTAGGAGCCGGCAACAGATCGAGAGATGTACCCAGGCACAACTGCAATCATGGCGGCGGCAAGGAGTCCCGCCCCTGCATCCTGGGGGAAAGAAAAAAACCACAAAAACACAGGCAAAGGGTGGAAAAAGGCATCAGTTTTTAGGGCTTTCGTTACCGTGCCATACTACGCCCGGATCTGCCTCAAAGGAATAAAAACGGAGTGTTGAAATGAAATTTGAAAACAGATCTCCCCATTTCCCAAAAGTTTTGGGGTTGGGCCGGTGTGGTGGTCACCTCCGAGCCGCCTTTCCGAAAGGCAGACAGCTCCACAAAGCAAAAACCTCCACCGGTACGCCCCGATCTTCCCCTCACCTTGAGCTCTTTGGTGAGGTGGTAAGTCACTATGGTGGTGAAAGAGGAGAAGAGGGGAGCCAGGAACACACAGACATTTCGGATGTCGATGGTGATGTGGAAAAAGTGCAGCACGTGGTAAATTGCCGCCGACGTGATCATCAGACCTGCGGGACGGAAACGACACCGTTTTCGGGGTGTTCTCGGTCTGCTCGCAGCACCGGGGGCCGTTAGCTTTTAATTAACAGCAGGGCGGCCTGAAATCTCGCTGGGGGGAGCTGCTGCCCGGGATGCCTCGATGAAAGGCGTCCCCCGAGCTCCCCTCCTCTCCCAGCTGGCGTTCAGGGCTCTGCTCTGCGTACGCGATCTGCCCCTCTCCCAATTTTCCCTCGGGCGAGGTGCGTTTCGGCTCAGCAGACGCCCGGCAGCTCACCTGGATAGATGGTCCCACCGATAATCCTGCCCAAAGGGTACCACGCTCGGTCGTCAAACCAGTTGTGGAATTTATAGAAGCCCTCCTCCGCCAAAAAGCGGGTTGTGCGGTAGTTAAAATACCTGTAACAGCGACAAGCACTAAGACAGGCAGCCCAGTACCAAATTGCGCCCCAGTTTGCGTACCCTTCTCCCGTGTCTGGGGGGTACGATGACATTGTAAGGGCTGACCGTGCGTTTTCCCCGCAAAAGGAATCGGTTTTCCCCTAGACTGCCGCAAACCTCAGCTGCAAAGGTTCAACCCTCCTCCAAAGGGTTTTAAAAGTGGGTTTGCAAAGGTAACATTCTCCCTCGCGCCTGATTTAACCCGCAGCAAGCCCGGGTTGCCGACACAAGTTGTAGCAGGAGCACTCTTCTCCTGCTGTGCCCTGAGCAGGGAGGGAATAACCGCAGCCCAGCATAAACGCGGTGTTGGGCGGTTACTTAGATCCAGGCTGCAGGAACTGAGAAGTGAATTTGGGGTGTGGAAGGGGAAAAACTAACTGTACGGAAGGAAAACCGCCCTCCAAATCCCTCATCTTTTAACAAACACCACCCGAATTCCGCGTGCTCCAGAAGAGCAAAACCCAGCCGGCCCCCACAAAGTGAAAGAGGAGGAAGACGCTCACGGGTCGAATTCATGGATGACGCTTTCAAATCTTAAGACGGAAAAAAGCCTCGTGGAGAAAGCTGCAAACACAGAAAAAGGGCAGAATGAATCCACAGCGCTGGCCGAGCCAGAGTTACATTAGGTTTATCTACTTCTTTGCTGGATTAAAATTGTTTTTGTCTTAAACCGGTCATTAGGAAGATAAAGACAGACGCAGTTTTCAAAGGAAAAGATACAGCAGGAGGAAAAGCGTTCACTTGAGCGCTTTAAATACAGATGAGAGGTTCACAACCTGCAAATGAAGAGAAGAAGGAGCAGAGGCGGCTCCATCCCAGGGTCCCCCTTTGAGGGCAGTGCCAGGACACGGACTTACACAGCACAGCTGCCATCGACAAGATGAGGAGCTTGAGCAGAGTGTCTTGCTTCTCGTAGGACAGCCGGAGAAACCCTAACTTGGTCATCTTCACATCAAAGGCAGAGGTTGAGGATGCTTGAAGACCTGAAAACAAAGAGGGAAGACGATCAAAGAGCGAGTCAGCTCCCAGCCCCACCACGTCTCTAAAAGTTTCGTGAAATAGGATCTTAAAGACCCCACTCCTGCCCAAGGAGGCTGTGTCCACCCCTCACCCCCCACCAGATGCTTTTGCCGATCCGTGTCTCCCTTCCCCAAATCCCCTTCCCTCCCATTCTCACCTGATCAGTTGCCTCAAGTCTCGTCTGAGGTTTTTCTTTCTTTTACAGGGACCAGAACTTCTTCAGGGCAGAGGACAAGTCTGTTTCTCTGCATACAAAACAAAACCCAAGCGTAAGCTTTTAACAAAACCCCTAATTTTTCCCTGGCTGGTCTCTGGAGTTTAACCACAACCCGTAAGCGATGCATTAAAAAAAGTAATCAATGGAGGCTGCAAGAAGTCGGTGCCGTTTTCTCATATATAGGAGGTCTGAACAGCTCCTAGCCACTCCCACTTTGAATTATTTACGTTAAACATACACATCCCAGTGGTTTGCTAATGTGAATCCAGCACAGTAAGTCAGCTTTGTTTATAACGGACAACGTGGCTGTTTAATTCGGCCCCTCTGGCTGGAGGAAGAACCAGCAAAATCCTAGTATGACACGAAGGAAGTGAAACTGTGGGCAGAAAATGAAGTCTTTCCACTCTTGAAAACCCTCCGATTTCTTTAGAATGCTTCTTTACCCAATCAATGCAGGGGGAAAAAAAAAAAAAACAGACAAAAAACCCACCACTCCCTGCAAATACAGTCCCAGAACTGGTGGATAAATCCTCAAGTCACCTCCCTGTGCTACAATGCCGGGGAGGGCAGATTTGGACAGGCTGAGATTTAAAAATAAAATACAAACTTGAAAAAAAAAAACACCCCACCAAACCTCTCCGTGACCTAGAAGTGATTCTGACTTGCGCACATTTGTTACTAATTGATACACAAAAAAACCCGCGTTGTAATTATTTCCTGGTTCCCCTGGGGCTACTAAGAAACTGGTAATGATGACAGAACGCAGTTGCCTCCTGGGGACAAGTGGCTCTGCCACTGAGGTACCACCGGTACCCTGATTTCCACCTCTCCGGTAGATGACACGCAGGGGACCCTTCAGCACCCAGTAACGCCACAGCCACTGGGGCAACCAGCAGCCCGTGGCCAGTTCCCAGATACTGGGGTGGAAAGGAGGAATGGCTGTCCCTGGGCTGTGGACTAACGCCCCGCTCTCGCCACCAGCCCCTCCGAGCTTGGCTGTGCCCTACAAGACACTCTGCCCCCCCAAACCCCACCTGGGCTGCACCCCACACTCCTGCACCCCACAACCCCGCACACCCCATCATTCCGCACCTCCAGGCACCCCAAAACCCCTCACCCCTC